AAGAGACGTGGTCCATGTAGCAAAGGCATGACCATGAGACTTACTCAGAGGTTTTAGGTACCTTCATTTCGAATGAAAGTGCATGAATTAGAGTTTTCAGCCTCGAATTAGTCATCCAGACGTAGGGGGGGATAAATAAAGTTTGAGTAACACAGATGAGGGTAGCAGGGGTCCAGTGAAATATGTGTACCAGGGAGATAGCAGACAGATTCTACGGGGCAAAAAAAAGACTCTGATAAGACCCAGGGAAGGACTACGTAACAATATGACAGACTCTAGTTAAAATTCCCAGCACATGGGTAAGGGGGTGAAAACGACAGCGTAGACTGTAAAGGGTTTTCATAAATGCCGCTTGTAGGAGCACACAACACTACATCAAAATAAGCATGGTAAAAATGGTGACAGTGAAGGCGTGTAGGAGTATATAGGAAATGTGAATAGCCGGGGGCAGAAGGGGAGAATCCACAACTGTTGAGCCCAAGTTTGGTCAAAAAAGGGGCTTCACCTGTCTCTTTGACGAACTTTACTATGGTGCTACCAATGACGAGACTCACTGACGATGCCAACTACGATGTCGGCGAAATGTCTGGAAAAGTACTACGTCCACAGTCCGACTTTGGAAATGATCATGCATACTATGGACTCCGGACTAGGTGCGCTCCTAGTATTCCTACCAATGTGACCAAGTTGCGAAAACAAGTTTATAAAACTTCTATACAACGAAAGGAGACTGCGACCACACAGATGGTTACACAATTTTGGTCTATATATCTTCGAATTTGCTCCTGTGTTTGATGTTAATATAGAATGTAATAGCTTCATGCTTATTGGAGAAATTTAAAAAGTATGACATTGTATGATTTATCTTAAGATTAAATTGAAACCAAAAAGTTAAGTTGTATTATTGAATCTTTTTTAGATATGGATTTGTCTATATATGTTTGTGAACTGAGAAATAAATTTATTAAGAGTTTAATTTCCTAATTAAATATAAATCTTAAGTTTAATAACCCTATTTAAATTATAAAGCAATGTTATAATTTATAATAATGGCAATAATATTTAGAAAAAGTGCTTAATAGTTATGTGCACATATTGTTTTTTCGTTTTACTTATATCAACTGCTGAATGCATGCACTCTACAAAGCTATTTGATAATGAATAATTTTGCTCGTTACTTTACTTCAGGAAAAAACTTTATTCGAACAATATTAATTACTAAAAAACGATATGATAATCCCTTGCTTTCAATTGTATTTGGATTCTCCTTTTTTTCGTATTTTAGTTGTAGAGCATTGTACCCAACTCAGGTTGCCAAACAAGTAATACTATTTACGCTAATGAAGTTAGCCTGCAAACTTAGAAAAAGTTAACGCATTAGAAGAACACTTTTTTCGCTACGCATCTATAGAATATAGGGGCAAGTATCTCATGGCACCGAGTGATTTTTTAAATTCTCTTACAATGGATAAACCTCTCTGTTGGTATCACTCTCGGTCTAAAAATTTTAGTTAGGAAAAAAAGAATAATAACAGACCAAGAAGCAAGAAATTTTCTTGGGAGAACTCCTTCTAAATCTTCTGGTTCTCCACAATTTTTTCGTAGTCTTCACAATGATGGTTTGATCTCATATTCCGAATTTTTGTTTCTTATTTGTGGGCTCGCAAGTATATTTTGTATGGTTAAATTATACCTAGAGTCAAAAAGAGGCTTACATATTGCTTTCAAAATGTTTGACAGAGATTTAAATGGCTCAATAGATTCAGATGAATTTCATATAGTAATGCTTCCGTACTCTTATCTGGTAGATTAATCAAATAATTACTAAGGCTAAAGAGCACCAAGAATCTAATAAAGATAGAAGTTCAGCCTTATATTTAGTAAATATATTTCCTTTGCTTATATTCTAGTCTCCACATGATTCAATTAATACCACTATAATGTATCATTTATTTGGTGCATCTGGGAAAGAAACGCTTACATATGATGAATTTTTCAAATTTATGGAGGATACCCAGACAGAAGCACTAGAAGTTGAGTTCTCTTACCATGCTAAAGGGTCAACATTTATAAGTACCTTAGATTTCGCAAATATTTTATTGAAAAATACGAACATTTCTCCAACTGAATATAACTCTTGTCTTGAGAGATTGGAAATGAATGCCTATGCCAATGAGGTGGACATTCTTATCATAATTTGGTTCTTTTTAGCGCGTTTCATTTTGTGAATTCAAGAATTTCCATGACTTCCTGAACCATCTTGATGACTTTAGCTTGACAATGCGTATGTATACAATGGCAGATAGACCAATATCCATAAGTAAATATGACTTTGACAATAAAGTATTTAGAGGATTTTGGGAGGGCCATACAAATATGTACTGGACATGATATTTCACTAACCCTGCTGCGAACCTTATTTTATCTGTTTGACACTGATGGGGATGGATCACTCAGTCACAAAGAATTTATACAAGTTATGAAAGATCGATGTTCGTCAAGACTGGATTTGGTAAGTGTTAAGCATCTACTTGAATGTGCATTTCTATATCTCTAATTAAAAGATAAGACCTTGAATTCTATTATCTTAATGCTTATTTCTAGTGTCCAATTTAATTTTAAGACTTATATTTTCTACTAAAATACATCGATTTTCAGGCTATGGGTGCAAGATCGTCTATATGGGACACCTTCCGATCTTGTATGGCAAATAATCTTCGTGGAAAAAACTTGAGGGATTTGTGATCTTTCACAATATTTGGTCTGTATATGGCTTAGATTTCAAAATAGGATTTTGTGAAATATTTTTTACATTATTTATCAATTTTTGTGGAGGTCGTATCTTTTGTCTTTTCAATGAAACGTATTTCCGATTTTTGGAGTACTTTTTTTTACCTTAAACTGTAATTCTCAGAACTTCGAAAAATTTGTGTTATTTACTTTTTTTTCTGTCAATTGCGAAATTTGATATGTAGTACAAGAATAAACCGAATTTGACGACTAACGTTTCGTTCAAGCAATTATTTAAAATAAAAATGTTTTTAATCGAAGGTATGATTGTGTGTAGGATTGTGTGGCCTTTTGTATGTTCATGATATCCTTTCATTGTATTGAAATTGGTTGACCTTGTTTTCGAAACTTGTCATATTGATAGAAAGACCTTGAAGAACTCACCTGGTCCGGAGTCCATAGTATGTATGATCATTTCAGAGTCGGACCATGGACTTGGTACATTTTCAGACGTTTTGCCGACATCGTAACTGAGCCTTGTCATTCTAAGCACCACACAACCAATCGCTAAAGAAACATGTGAAGTAGATCCTTTGACTAATTGTCTGATAAAAAGTTGTGGTATCTCTCTTGTCATGTGGTATTTTCCTATCCTATACCCTTGTATCACCCCGTCAATATCATAAATTCTTACTTGTTCATCTGAGCCCATTCTAAAGCTATTCACACTCTCCGCTAGCTACCATATTCTTCCCATTGTGTCGAGAGTGCTGCTCCAAGGTTGCGCTTTAATATTCAATCACCTTCTCTTGCTTCGTAGGATTCTATCATTATCTGCCTGCTTCAGTGATTTCATTTTATCGCTACCACCGTAACCGTGATGCTCAATGCGTTATGTTCTACACTCTGCCACAAGCCTCTGATAGTACATATACACCAGCTTCACACAGCAAGCCCCTAAACTCTGGATTCTTAATTGGCATGACAACCTAACTTGACTCTAGAGACTCCCTCATCAATGTGCGACATATGCAGCAAGTAAATCTTGTGGTCAAACCTTAACTTCATGGATCACGTCTATGAGCAAACTCGTATACTAATAGCTAACAAGAGCCTGACATTAGCCTCTTTGATCATTCTGATCACATACACACATACACACACTCGAGCATAGGCAACAGTACAAGCATGAAAGATAACTAATCAAACCATCCTATATCTATTTATACCTGTTTACTTTAATTTTTAGTTTTGAGTTTATATATATATATATATATATATATAGGGTTAACGGGGTATGTTTCCAAGAATGTCGACCTCCAATTGTGATAATTCTACTTGATTTGAAAGGTTTACTGTAGACGTCTTCTCTTGATTTCAGATTATCCATCTTTAATCTCCTTATAATGACTTTTCCTAAAATGAAAAATAATACCTTTGTCCAGTCGCCTCCTTTTTGCTGATATTGCTGCTCTATGATCTCCGAGTTTGCTTAGGCAATATGCAAAATTTTCGCTTAGCCTGCCTTCTTCAAGTCTCCTGTTCATTAGGTTTCTTTCATTCAGGATATCGATGGCCTCTCGTATCTTGCGTTTTCTTGTATTTCCCCCATATACAGCCAGCCTTTCGGTCGACTTTGTGTCCCGTTCGTGTGATATGTTCTGCTATTTCGGATCGTTCAACGTCCATGTTTCTGCAGAGTCCTTGGTGTTCCTTAATTCCTAGGACGATTTTACTTCCTGTTCCACCAATATTTTTCTGCTTACAGTTGCCGCATTTGGTGCTATAGAGTACTGAGCAATAAATTTCTTAACCTTCTCGTGTTGCGTCCGCAGACTTGCGAAGAGTGTTGTCTTTTCTTTTGTTGTCATCTTGATATAACATTTTCTTAGCAACGGTGGCACTTTCTGGCTAAGTTCACAGGATGGCAAGCATATCCACTTTTTGTGGTCTTCCCGATTTCTCATCTTATTTACATAAAATGCTAGCTGAAATCTGCTCTTAATTACGCCTATATTTCTTTCTATGAATTCTCTGGAGCACCCGTTACTAAGGCAAATCCGAGTCAGTTTCTCCGACACCTCGTTCAAGAACTCAGCATCCCTTAGTCTTAAGCTTCTGACGATCATACTTCTCATTATTCCAGTCTTCAATCCATAGTTGTGACTACACTGGAAATTAAGCATTATTCCTGCATGTGATTTCTTTCTGACCAGTCTAATCTTGGACATTCCGTTGGAGTGAATGACCGCAACATCCAGGAAGAAAAGTCATTTACTCTCCTCCTCCTCCTCCAGATCCATTGTGAATTTAATTCTTCCATCAAATAGGTTTGTAACATTGAGGAACTCATTCAAATGTCTCATAAGATGCGAGAAAGATGCAAAATAGTCGTCCAGGTATCGCATAAGAACCCTTGGTTGCAACGATGACTTATCGAATTCCTTCTCCAATTTGTCCATGTATACACTTGCCAAAAGAGATTAGAGTATATTACTGTTAGGTTGATTATTCGTCGTAACCACATCATCTGTATCTGCTTTGCTTCCAGGATATCCTTGTCTTGTTCCAAAACCTCCAGCCGGACGATGACCGACTTCTCGCCTAAAACTTTGTGTACAGGGATTGTACGCCAAAGCTCACCGACATTTCCGTCCCTGTCAGTCCAATATCTTGGATCCTTTGAGAAATTTTTAATAAATTCTTCACGGTGTTCAATAGTCTTTAGATTACTTTCTTAAGCTTTAATCATATACATTTCGCTAGTTTGTGTGTTACTCCGGGCTTGTTGTTAACTTTTAACCTTAGTAGCTTTACTTCCTTGTGCATCTTCGGTAGTCCGTAGGCTGTCGGTGGTCTGGAGTCATTTTGTATTGACACATTCATCATCTATATATCGACATCTCCGTTGTTATGCATTTACTTTAACATTTCTTTCAGTATTCCGTTGATCTTCATTCCTGCATCCTTTCTTAGTATTTGATAAGTGTTCCGGACGCCTAGGATACGTTTCATTTTCTCCGTGTACTGTTGCCTATCCATTATCAACGTCGCAACTCCCGTATCTGCCAGAATAGCTATTTGATCATTCATTGTAATTTGCTACGTAGCTGCATCAGTTCACTCCTTTTCATTGACCCTTGGTAAGACGGAATTCTCGAGAGTAATTCCATTTATACCTCCAGTTTGGTCTCTTCTGGATATAGAGATTCGAAGGTAGGTTTCACCAGAAGAATACGGCGGATTCTTCTACATCAGCTTTACTGGAAGATTTATGCTGACGCTATTTTCGAGGTAATCTCCTTCGATTTCTGTGAAAAGGTGCTAAGCTTTCGTCCGTCATATGACGAACATCATCAGAGCGAGGTATCATCGTAACAACAAAATTTAAGCTAACATGTCAAGAAAACTCACATACAAATCTCTAAAAATTGGTATATATACTGCATATCTGGCCTCTGATCAGTTACAAAGTGATTTGGTTAGTTACGGTCATATGTCAACCTCCTAGCCTGTGAGTGTGTCTGTCTCTGTATGAGTATGTGCCTGTTTGTGTTTGTTTATGCACTAAACCCGCAGTGATGGCTCAAAGTAATTAGGACAACAAAAAGGAACGTCTCATTTTGGCCATCAATGTTTGATGATCCTTATCCCCCACTTTCTACATACATGTTATAACCATCACTCCGATTGCACAAGGTCGGACACTCGTCTGGTTTTGTTGCTGAGCTTTTTTTTTGCTTTTCGTCTCAATGCGAGAGAGAAAGAGTGAGCTAAAAGTCTAGAGAAGTGACTATGATTAGAACCAAGACAAGAAAAGACCAGTTGTGTCGCCTCCTTTTTGCAGGCGGCTCAACTCCCTCTCTATCTAGTAATTGTTA